AGGGAGGGGAGGAGGAGGAGAGGGAGGAGGAGGAGCAAAAGGGAGAGGAGAGGAGGAGGAGGAGGAGGAGAGGAGGAGGAGGAGGCAGGAGGAGGAGGCAGGAGGAGGAGGAGGAGGAGGAGGAGGAGGAGGAGGGAGGGGGAGGAGGAGGAGGAGGAGGAGGAGGAGGAGGAGAAGGAGGAGGTGTGGCGGGGGGGAGAGATCCACGCGGCAGTGCGGCACAGGCATTTGGCGCCGGAGGCCTCGGGCGGCTCCCCGAGAGAAGGGGTTGGGACGAGGTGGGCGGCCTCCCCTAAGAGGGCAGGCGTCGGGGGGCCCAGCATCCCTCTTCTCCTCGACTCCCCTCGATCCTCGACCCTCGATCCTCCTCGGTCCTCGATCCTCGATCCTCCCCCTCCTCCTCCTCCTCCCCCACCTCCTCCTCCTCCTCCTCCTCCTCCTCCTCCTCCTCCTCCTCCTCCTCCTCCTCCTCCTGGTGAGTCGGTGTGGATTCTGGGTGGCCGCGCGGTCTTGGGGCTCGGGTCGTTCTCCGAGGACGCCTCGGGCAATTGAGGCCTCCAAGGTCCCCAAAGCCGTGCGGTGACGGGCCGTGCCGTGAAGTCTCCTTGGATTGCGGGGGCCGCACGGTCAGTGACAACAAGGTTTTCGGACCCCCAAGGGGACGAGGAGGAGGAGGAGGAGGTGGAGGAGGAGGAGGAGGAGGAGGAGGAGGAGGAGGAGGAGGAGCAGCAGGAGCAGGAGGAGGAGGAGGAGGAGGAGGGGGAGGGGAAGGCAGAGAGGGACGAGGTGTGGAAGGAGACGAGGAGGAGGTGGAGGAGGAATGGTTCGCAGGGGGAGGACAAAGAGGCTTCTCAGAGCTCACCCTGCCCTGCGAGGTCCAGGTCGGACGAGGGGGGCGGGACAGGGATTTGGGATTAAGTCGGCATGTCCCTCTACAGGAGGAATGGTCAAGAATTGTGAAACACAGTCTGGTGACAATTCTTCGTGCTCTATGTTCGTTGTTTGGCTTGTGTGTTGCTTTTCTTCCAAACTCCGCCTGTAGGATTATGATGTTCCGACCGACTTTAGCTTAGACCACCAGAAATAATTTCGAATACCAAGAAGAAAGTGCCGAAATTGGAGGGTGTTCACGTGTCGAGCCTTGGGGGGCGATACTCGTTCGACACTTAGCTAGCCGGGTAGACACTGATTCGATATGTCTTTTGGTGTTCGAAAATATTTCTGGGATGTGGTCCTTCAGTACGAAGAGAGCCAAGAATTCTAGGAAGAAGCGCCCGACCTAAAACTGGGAGGGGGCACGCCTTCTGCTGCATGCGGCCAGTTTCGGCCCCGCCTCGCGGGCTGGCTCCTCGACGCGCGGCCGCCTTCCGCCGAGCGCTTCCGCCTGCGGAAGCCACTCGCCGTGGTACGTCCGCATGTCCTCCTCCTCCGCCTCCTCGTCTTCCTCCTCCTCCTCCTCCTCCTCCGACGACGACGACGACGACCTCCTCCTCCTTCTTCTCTTCCTCCTCCTCCTCCTCCTCCTCCTCCTCCTCCTCCTCCTTATCCTCCTCATCCTTCTCCTCCTCCTCCCCCTCCTCCTCTTCTCATCCTCCTCTTCTCATCCTCCTCTTCTCCTCCTCCTCCTCCTCCTCCTTCTCCTGTACGCTTGGGGTACTTAGGTCACGGAGCTGAAGCGTACGTACGTACCACGGTCCTCCTCCGCTTTTTTCGCCGAGGGCGAGGCCGGAGGATCGCGCTGCATCGCCGATGCATCGCCGATGCGGCTCGATGCGGAGCCCGATTTGCTGCACGCTGGCGTCGACGATGCATCGCCGACGTCGACGATGCATCGCCGGTGCATAGCCGATACATCGCCGAGACATCGCCGATATATCGGCGATGCGGCGCGATCCTCTGACCCCATGTAACCTGACCCAACCTAGGAGGCCTCTATCCCTGGAACGCGCAACATTCAGGAGGAAACAAAAACCCACAGACACCATCAACCGTCGACTCCAAGGAAAATATCGGCGAACATAGGGGAACAGATGGGAACATATGGAAAGAGGGGGAGGAAGACGAAAAAACATAACACGTCGGAAAAGATGTAGAATCCGGGGGTTTGCGTCTATTTCTTTGTGTGTCCCTGGGACCTTCTACACATGGGCGCCTCTGGCGGCGGGAAGCGCCGGGAAAACTAGATACGGGAGTCGACTACACGTAAGAGTGACCCTTCGCAGGAGTGACCTTTGTTGCGGGCCCAATGGGGTCCCCCGGTCACCGAGCGCGAAGCGGCAGCGGCGGCTTGCGCGCCCGGGTTTGGCCACCCCGCGTTCCCTGGTGAGTCGCGCACCGAAGGTCACTCTTGCCCAGGGTCACTCTTGCGTTACTGGGCAATGGCGTGTGAGAGCTCGGCCTGGACTGCGCACGACCCCCGCTGGGCGCCTCGTGGGCTCATGTGGGGACTGCCTGGGTCGGGCCGCACGAAAGGGTATAATGGAGGCACTGCGTGCAGCTGGTTGTCGCCCCGCCGCCGGGCCCATTCCTCGATACACGAGCGCCTCCCAGCGCCAGCAGGCGCCAGGAACACCTACGTGAGCTGACCTACTAACGCTTAGCAGGGCTCAGCAGTGCTTAGCAAAACTTTGCAGGGCCCGGCCCCGAGTGTCCTCTGGAGGACCTCCTGGTGCCGAGGTAATGCTTCCAGGGTGCCGGAAGCGTTATCGTTTCACCAGAAAAGGGGGGGTCTTGAATGCTTCCTGCTGTTACCCTTTTGCTATCCTACCCTTTGCCCCCCCGGTCTTGGTGCGATTTTTGGGCCGCCCTGCGAGCCCGAGCCCAGCGCGCCCCAGCAGGCCGAGCAGCCCGAGCCCCGCGAGCCGCCGGCGGCCGACGCCGCGGCGGCTGGCGGGAGGCAGAGGTCCCGGGGGCAGCGTTTGGGGGGGGAGCATGGGCTCAGGGAGGATCGAGGAAAAGGAGGTGGAGGAATGTAGGAGGCAGGAGGGGAGCAGAGAGCAGGAAACAGGGAGCAGGGAACAGGGAGCAGAGGAGGAGCAGGAGGAGGAGGAGAAGGAGGAGGAGGAGGAGGAGGAGGAGGAGGAGGAGGAGGAGGAGCCGGTCCCCCCCCATCGCGCTGCCCCTCCACAGGGCCAGGAGCCCCGCCGAGATGGCGGCGATGGCCGCGCGCGGCGCCAAGGTTCAGAGGGGTCCTGCCAGGGAGCGGCGGTCGCCCAGGGCCGCCCCAGTTACAGTTTAGGTTGATTAATTCGTCGACCCTGCCAATGAGGGGTTGATTCATACGTCGCCCACCCGGCGCAGCCGGTCCTCGCAGCCGCCCCCAGCCCGCCCCCGGCGCCCCCGATCCGCCCCCCATTGGCGTCCCGCTGCCTCTGCTGCCCTCCACTTGCTGGCCCCCCCCCTGCAGTGCGGCTGCCGGCTCCTCCCCTGGGTGCGCCCGCGTTCGCTGCCAGAAGTTGCCCTTCGGCCTGGCCGCCCCGCGCGCCCCCCGCGGCCTCGCTGCGTGAGTGCGCCTTTCTCCTCCTCCTCCTCCTCCTCCTCCTCCTCCTCCTCCTCCTCCTCCTCCTCCTCCTCCTCCTCCTCCTGTCTCTGCGTCCGGCTGTCTTCTTTCCCTCTTCCTCTTGCATGCGGGACAATTCGCAATGCCGTAGCCCAGGTTGTTTGGACGCGCGAGCGGATCGCCTCTGCCGCTCCGCGACAGAAAAAGTGTCTTGTGGTTTGCAACCCATGCTTTCTAAATTCCTATGGCAATGTGGCTCTCGGAAGGGTCTTGTGTCCTCTTGCGTGTCCTCTCTTATCAGCCCCGATTGTATCCAATGGAACGAGGGAGAAGAGCACAGAAGCATTCAACTTGTGGAGTTCCGAGAGGATTCTTGGATCGGCGGGCGGGGCCTCCTGGCGGTTCCTCCAGCGCCGTCCTTGGCGCGCTGCGCGCGCCAGGGAGGGGTTCCAGGGCCGATCCAAGAAACACGCGCGGACCTCCGACAGTTTATGTTTGCGCCGTCGCTTGCTCTTCTCATGGAGGCCTCGAACGGCCACACGTGGGAGAACATCTTCGCCCGAGTGATCTTTGGCGTGCGGCCTTCGGAGGGCGTGGGAGGGCCAAACCCAAGCAGGCACACCGCTGCTGTCGCACCGCATCGGCAAGACGCGCACCAGAGGTCATTCTTGTCAGGGCTCACTCCTCCTCTTCCTCCTCGTCCTCCTCCTCCTCCGCCTCCTCCTCTTCCTCCTCCTCCTCCTCCGCAACGTCAGGTTTGGCTTCAAGGCGGTGCAGATCGGCACGCAGGTGGTGCACGTCTCCCACAAGACGCAGTTCTCCCATGGCTGGCTCTGGTGCGAGAGATGTGGCGGCACCAACTACCTTGGGGACCACAAGAGCAGGATCGTGGCAGGAGTGGCAGGGAAGCTGGCCAGGCCATGTCAGCCCCCAACAGCAGCAGGGCGGCGGGTCTTGGCGGACATGCAGAGGGGCAAGCTGCCAAGAGGAGCAAAGCCAGCAGCAGACCCAGCTGATGAGGGTCTCAACGAGATCACCATGCCTGGTGTTTTCAAGCTCGGCCTGAGTAACCACGAGGCGATCGACCTGGACGGGGACAGCTCAGAGGCAGGGGACCCGCAGCCAGTTCCACAGCAGCCACCCAGCAATCCGCACTCTGTCGTCCAAGCCAGCTGGAGGCTCGTGGACCACATGGAGGGCTACGCGGAGCAGTGGATGAACATGGTCGACCAAGAGGTCTGGGACGACATGGACGACTGGATGGAGCACTGCGTACCGTACCTCCTGGCCATCACCAATGTGGGTGGCAGAACGGACACGCAAGAGCAGACCAGGGCCGTCACCGCGCAGGAGCTTCAGCAGATCCAGGACTTCTGCGAAGAAGTCTGGCGCAACACGCACCGCACGCGGCGGAGGCTCATGACCAGGATGCTTACCCTCCCGTACGGTACAAGGCAGCAGGCAGCAAGAGTGCACATGGACGCCTTCCAGAACAGAAGGAACAACATCCTAGCGCACAGCATCCCCAGCAGCGAGCGCAGGCCGCTTCCCAGAACAGCGGAGGCCAGCCGAGAGTGGTCACCAGAGAACCTGGACGATGATGACTCGACCCCAGACAGTGAAGCTCCAGAGCTGGAGGGCGAGCCGAGCAACCAGGAGATGGAGACCATGGCAGGACCTGATCAGAGGCACGACGTCAACAGCCTGATGCAGACGGCCGTGCGGGTGGCAGTAACGCTGACCAAGCCAGTGGGGCCCGACCTGATGAAGTTCGTGAGCGAAACCGATGAGGCCGGCCTGCTCCACCCAAGGCTCCGACACAACAAAGGAGAAGCTGACCAGGACCCCGAGCAGGAGGTGGCGTGGCTCGAGAGGAACAGGCTTGAGCAGCTCATGCAGTCGCTGGCAGGCAGCTGGATCCAGAAAGAGGGCGAGCAGGGCTGGCCATCGTGGCAGGCCGCGTGCGTGCCCCATGTGCTGAGGGCGCTGCAGACTGGCGTCTACCAGAAGCTGTTCAGCAACGTGTCAGGGCCGAGCCGCCAGCGCAGCCAGCGCCGAGCGGCGGATGAGATCTGCCGCCTGGCATGGCTCAACAGCGGAGAGGCGCGCAGGCAGATCCAGCAGCAGGACCCGAAGGAGGCAGAGCGGCGCAGAGCAATGGCCGAGCAGTTCCTGGGCGTGACTGAGCCAGCGGCGAGGAGCCGCAGCCCGCGACCGCAAGCAGCAGTGCGAGTGCCAAGCAGGGCTCCAGCCAGACAGCCGAGGAGGAACCCAGAGGCCAGGGCCACCAGCAGCCTCGCCGAGCTGCGCGCGGCAACGCCAGCGCCCGAGCTTGAGAGGCCCAAGGGGCCCAGGGTACCGCAGCCAGAGCGACCCCTGGAAGCGGGAAGGGCGGAGGAGCGGCAGAAACCCTCCAGCAGGCCCCTGTGCGGAGAGGGGGCAGGCCACCATGGGCCCCTGCGCGGCGAGGGGTAGGCCGCAGAGGACCCCAGCGTGGCGAGGGGTTAGGCCACAGCCCTGCGCCAGACGGGATGCAGAGGGGTGCCCGTCCCCCACCAGCAGGACGGAGCACCATGGACACGGCAGACCTCGACCACTTCCTTGAAGAGGAGAACAGCGAGGATTGCCTCCAGCAGCACGTAGACAAGCAGGACAGCGATGACGACCACCAGCAGATCCCAGATGCACAGCACAGCATAGGGTACCACCTGGCAGACCGCAGAGGACCCCAGCGTGGCGAGGGGTTTGGCCACGACGGACCCCAGCGCGGTGAGGGGTTAGACCGCAGCAGACCCCAGCATGGTGAGGGTTTCGGCCAGGAAGCACCCCAGCACGGCGAAAAGGCAGACCGCAGAGGACCCCCGCGTGGCGAGGGGTTAGGCCACAGAACTGCGCAGCCCGAGACGACGGCAGACTACGACGACACAGACCTGCAGCGGGACCTGGAGAAGTTTTTCGGCGACTTTCCCCAGCGCGGTGAGGGGTTAGACCGCGTGGAACCCCTGCGCGGCGAGGGGTTAGGCCACGGAAATCCCCTGCGCGGTGAGGGGGTAGACCGCAGTGCCAAAGGCAAGCAGAAGCTCGAGGCGGAGGTTCCTGACGAGCCCAGTGAGCATGACGCGGACTTTTTGACCAACAGTGTGGTAGACATGACCTCGCAACTAACAGAGCGGACCCATACCCTGGGAAACCGACAGGCTGAACGCGAGGGGGAGGGCTTGGCCCGCGGATACCACGTGAACCGCGAACACAGCGAGCGGCATAGTCGGGGGACCTCGCCCGAGCCAGTGGGCAGTAGCATCGAGGATGGGGACAGTGCGAGACTCGGCGTTCCCCCGCGCGGTGAGGGGTTAGACCGCAGCAGGCCCCAGCGTAGCGAGGGGTTAGGCCACGGAGTACCCCAGCGCGGTGAGGGGTTAGACCGCAACGATCCCCAGCGTGGCGAGGGGTTAGGCCACGGCGGACCCCATAGTGGTGAGGGGTTAGACCGCAGCAGGCCCCTGCGTGGCGAGGGGTTAGGCCACATGGGACCCCAGCGCGGTGAGGGGTTAGACCGCAACAGGCCCCTGCGTGGCGAGGGGTTAGGCCACGGAGCACCCCAGCGCGGTGAGGGATCAGACCGCAGCAGCCCCCAGCGCGGCGAGGGGTTAGGCCACGATTCTCCCCAGCGCGGTGAGGGGTTAGACCGCGCCGACCCCCAGCGTTGCGAGGGGTCAGGCCACGACGGACCCCAGCGCGGTGAGGGGTTAGACCGCAACAGACCCCTGCGTGGCGAGGGGTTAGGCCACCACGGAGCACCCCAGCACGGTGAAGGGCCAGACCGCAGCAGGCCCCAGCGCGGCGAGGGGTTAGGCCACGGAGGGCCCCTGCGCGGCGAGGGGCTAGGCCGCAATGCGCCCCAGCGTGGCGAGGGGTTAGGCCACAGCCCTGCGCCAGGCAAGGCGGCCGTGAAGGCCCGCGAGTCCAGGGGCCAGCGGCCAGGGCGGTCCCTGGAAGAACGCAGAGCGGAGGAGCGGCTGCGGCCGTCCATCAGGCTGCTCCTCAAGCTCTGAGAGGGCGGCAGCAGCATTCTTCAGACTGCCGCCGCTCACGGGGCGACTCCATGAGTCATCGAGTGGCGGCAGTACGACGCCGTGAGATGAGGCCGCTGGCCCACCCCGCCTCGGGCCGTTCTGCCTGCGCGGGGTGCCGAGACCAGGGGCGCCCACTCACGGGCGGGAGCACGCGGGTTTAAAACTCCTCCTCCACCACCACCTCCTCCTCCTCCTCCTCCTCCTCCTCCTCCTCCTCCTCCTCCTCCTCCTCCTCTCGCCAGAACACCCGCCACAGGGCCCGGAGTGCCTCCCCCCTCGTGCTCAAGAAGCGGATGCCTTCAGGGTGCCCGGGGTCTTCCCCCCAGCTGCACCCCGCGCACAGATTTTCAGGGCTGGGCTGAAAAGCTGCCTCCAGACGCCGTAAATGAGGACAAACGCCCGTATTGAGTTCTTCCTCCTCCCCCTCCTCCTCTCTCCCCCCTCCTCCTCCTCCTCCTCCTCCTCCTCCTCCTCTCATCATCATCATCATCATCCTCATCCTCATCCTATCCTCATCCTCATCCTCATCCGCCTCCTCCTCCGCCTCCTCCTGCTCCGCCTCCTTCTCCTCCTCCGTTCAAGAGACTGGAGGTCTCGGAGCCCAGGGGTCGGGCCGGACGGAAGGGGGGGATAGGGAAAGGGGGGGGGTACGAAATCTGCTGCATGCAGCTGGCTTCGGCCCCGCCGCCGGGCCCATTCCTCGATACACGGGCCCCTCCCAGCGCCAGGAGGCGCCAGGACAACCAGCTGCGTGCGCTGATTCTCTACCCTACACTTTGCCATCCTATCCCTGCGCCCCCCCCCCGAAAGGGGGGGAGCTTTGCATGCATCCGGTGGCTCCAACCGCCTGCTGCCAGACGACGCCCCAGGACGGAGACGTGGAATGCACCCTCCCTGGGCGACCCGCCTCCTGCCGCGGCCCCCGGAAGGCCGCCAGCGGCGCCGGCCCGAGGGCCGCAGGGCTCGCCGCCGTCGGCAGCGAGGCTCGCCAGGGAGAAATCGAGGTCAGATTGCTTGGCGCGCGGGTTCGTCGCGGGAAGAAGCACGGGGACCATGCCTCGAGAAACGAAAAACGCCATAGATATCAATGTTTGGCGCTCCGCGCGGGTTTCTTGGATCCGCGTTGGGGCCCCCGGGCGCCGCCTCCGGCGCCGCCCTGGCGCGCTCCGCGCGCCAGGGAGAAGGGCCGCGCGCCAGGAGGCTGCAGACCCTGGAGGATTCCTTATCTGTGGAGGGCGGTGGTGATACCCATGGCCGATCCAGTCGATTGGACTTCCAGAGGCAGCCAGACCCTGGATTCCTTATCGAAGGCTTCTTGTCCAATGCCCCCACCGTAATGGCCAAGATGGACAGGGCTGCGCCTGGTCCCCCCTCCTCCTCCACATCATCCTCCTCCTCCTCCTCCTCCTCCTCCTCCACCTCCTTCTCCTCTATCCCCCTCCTTCCCTCGTCCTGCCCGCCGCGGGATCTTGGCGATGCCGATCCTGGTAATGGTCCCCATCGGCCGTCGCCGCTTCGCGAGGAGGGTCCACGAAGTGTCGCTGACCAAGAGATCGGCGGCGGTCAAGATCGGGGACGACGTGTCCGCGTGAGGTCTTGGTCATGGTCCCCGTGTTCTTTCCCTCCAGGTTCGGGATGTTTGGGCAGGGTTTCCCAGCCGTCCTGTGTCGAGTTGGGTCCTCGCTGTGGAGCCGTAGCCCCTCCACTCCCAGCGCATGCTGTCACGCTTGTTGTTCTCGTTTTGGGTCCGCCGCCCCGCGCGTCTCACCCCATCCCTCCCGCTCCTCCTCCGCCCTCCCCTCCCTTGGCATACCACGCTCCGGGGCCTCGTAACTCCGCCGAAGGCCCGAGTCGCAGCGGTCGCATGGGCGCCCCGCCCCACTTCGGCACACACACACACACACACACTTGCACACGCTTCGTGACCCCACAGGGAGCCCCACCGAAGACCTCAGTGGCAACGGTCGCATGGAGGCTCGTGGCCCCCTGGGGAGTTCCAGCGAGGATTCCAGTGGCAACGATCGCTAGACGGCCCCGCCCCACTTCGGCGCACCTGTCTCACGTTTCGTGGCCCCACGCGGAGCTCCACCGAAAGCCCCGATGGCAACGGTCTCATGGCGGCCCCGCTCCACTTCGGCACACCCCTCACACGCGTCGTGGCCCGATAGGCAGCTCCACCGAAGGCCTCAGTGGTCACTATCGCATGGCGGCCCTGCCCCTTTTCGGCCAGCCCCATGCACGGATGGTGGCCACATAAGGAGCTCGACACGTCGCGTGACCCCATGATGAGGAGGAGGGCGGGGACGAGCAGGAAGGAGATGAGGAGATCGAGGAGGAGGAGGAGGAGAAGGAGGAGGATGGGGAGGAGGAAGAAGAAGAAGAAGAACAACAAGAAGGTGAGAAGGACGACGATGGAATAGGCTACTCGTAGTACGCTCGTCCCTTTCTTCGTCCCAACCCGCCTTACAGTACTCGCGGCTGCAGATCATTGGGCCAATCGCCAGGATAACTGTGCATCTAGGAGTCGCCTCGTGGCCGCTTTTGGGTTCCCTTCGGGAGTTTTTAGCCAGAACGCACCCCAGAAGAGCTCCTGAGGTCGACTCTGGAGGCGAGGCGTGAGTGCAGGGGGGGTCCTGGAGGAGAGAGGGGGGGTCCTGGATGTTTCTCGCACTGTTTGTCTGAGCCCGTCCAAGAACGACCCAGGATGCAGAGCGCCGTTTGGTCCAGGACCCGGTTCCTCGGGAGCCCGCCCCCCTCCTTACAGGAGGTCTCGAACCCTGGCGGCAACGACCAGCAAGACGTGCCGCACGTGACGGAGCAGGACGGTTGCTTGCACTGGGAGGTGACCTTGAAGAAGGAGGCCGTCGAGGATAAGTTCGGCTTCGTGCAGGCCAACGGCAGACTAGACTTCGAGTCACGGATGATGTCGCTGTCGCAGCGTTCGCCGCAGCATGCCAGGTCGCCCTCGAAGCCTCCCCCAGCGTCTGCGCCAGAGTCCCTCATCGTGCGCAAGGCTCGGCGACCATAACGGGTGTGCTTACGCCCGGGTGTGGCTTGCGATCGGCGCCATTGGGGCTTCCGGGAGACACCACGTTGCGCCAGAGGCTCGATGCACCCTCGTCCGTGCGCGTTGGGGATCTCTGCCGAGGTCCCCGCCCGGCCCCCCCGGGCGCGAGCTGCAAGCCACACCACGTGCAAACCGCACCCGTCGGAGTCGCCGAGAGGTGCACGACCACGGCCTCCTGAGGCTCTGGAACCTCAGGCACAGGGGCGCGGAGGTGCGGCCGCTGGACCGCATCGTCCGCGTCAACGGCGAGGCGACGGTGGAGGGCATGCAGCGAGAGATCCGCTCACGGCGGGTGCTCATGAACATCGTGAGGTATCGCGAGCGGCGCACACATCCGCATCCGCGCCCTCGCGGTCTGGAGTTTCGGGGCGCGATCCCGCGGATGCGCGGGCTCCCCGCAAATAGACGCCCCGTGTCCGCGGGGTCACGTCCCAGGGGCCCGGCCCGCGAGGTTGCGGATACAGCCGGACCGAGGTATAAGATCAAGGTCGGTTCGGGGAGGTTACCCTGATGTTTTTCGTGTGTGTTGGATGTTGTTGTGCATCCTGGGGAGGGTACCCTTGGACGTTCCGTTTGTTTTGGCCGACGGAGGGTCTCATGGTCTTAAGGGATGTTCGTCTGGCCTAGGTCCGACTGCACGTGTTTCGCCAACGAAGGTACCCCGACCTCTTCGAGGTCACCCTGAGCAAGGACGGTGGCAAGAAGTTGGGCTTTCGTTTCGAGAAGCCCTCCATCCCCACCGCCGAGGGCGTGCGCATCACCGAGGTCCTGGCGGAGGGCGCGCTGCCGGAGCACAACACCGGCCAGCTGACCCTGGACCGGTGGCACTACGTCGTGCTGCCGGACATCGAAGAATCGGGCACTGAGAGAACGCCCACCCAGACCGGTCGACTGAGCAAATTTGCACTGGTTCATTCGACACTGGCATCCGAGTGTTGAGGTGCAGTCCCAAGTCGTTTTCGCTAATCGACGCGCGTTTCGCAGCATGCACTCGGTTGTTTTTGGGCTTCCTTCAGCTACCCCGCTAGGGTCGATTCAGAATACGATGCCGTGTACACGTGGAGTGCACCTGGCAGCTTTCACGAAAGGGCGTTTTGCTACTGGATGTTCTGTCAGCTTTGGAAAGAAGAAGACATGCGCATAAGCTGGATTTCTCTCGGAAGTCCGCGCTAGAATCCTTGGATCGGCGCTGGGCTCCATTGGCGGCGCCTCCGGCGCCGCCCCCATGTTGCGCTCCACACGCCATGGAGAGGGGTGCAGCGCCGACCCAAGAAATCCCAAGCGGAGCCCCGCAGGTGTATGCTCATGCCGCTTCCCCAGACCCCCGACGTCATGATTTGTTCATTACGTCGGCCCCTGGAGGTCTCGACCCATCCCCCCGGACCGGTTTTTCATCCTGGGTCGTTTTTTGGCGGTAGGCCGAAAATAGCAACAACAAAAAAAACTTCCCGTTGTGATTGTTTCGTTGCCCCAAGGGGGTCTGGGGCTTCTTCCTCCTTTCAGGACATGCGCATCGAGTCCGTGAACGGCATCTCCGGCGACAGCGTCCAGATCGCGGCGGAGCTGAAGAGGGCGGGCGCCGTGCGCCTCGTGGTCCGCTCTCTCGGCAAGATGTGTTTGCCCTCGCCCACGGGGCCTCGGGAGGCCCCCGGCAGGCCTCCCGCGAGGCCCGAGGACCGGCATCGCCCGAGCAGATGTCTTAGGAGAACGCGCAAGGACATGAACATGGAGACTCGGAGGTCCGCGCGGATTTCTCGGATCCGCGCTTGGTCCCCCCTGGCGGCGCCTTCGGCGCCGCCCCTGACGCGCTCCGCGCGCCAGGGAGGGGGGTCCGGCGCGGATCCAAGAAATCCGCGCGAAGCGCCAACAGTTTATGTTTATGGCGCTTTTTCTTGTTCCATTTCTACTACGCTGCTTAGCTGCCTCGATGCGCCCTGAATGATACGCAACGCGTACCGTGCTCAAAACGTCCGTGTCAATATACGCTGCGTCTTGGCTCAGCGTTTTTGTCCACGCTCTGGCGAGCGTCTCGCGTCAGACCTACGTTTTCAGTCTGCGTGTTGAGCTCCGTATACATAGACACTGCTTTAAATAAGCTGTGCTGGGGACCCTAAGTGCCAGAGCTTGGGGGCAGACGGCAGCGGCCGAGAGGCCTGGCGAATAAAAAGTCCAGGACACACAGAGCTTGAATATCCGACACAGCAACAGCAGATGAGAGCGACCACATTACAAGCACGAGCGAAAGTGAGGGGTCTACGCCCCAAGTAAAGTTCAGAGCACTCGCCGACATCATGCTGCAACCAGCCCTCCACACGGAGGGCCCACAGGTACCTGACCTTCATGGGCCCTCAGGGGCCGATCACGCACAACAAATTGAGAGTGCGAACCCCTCCACACAGGGAGGGGGGGTCGGGGCCGAAACTTGAGCGGCGGCGAAGCCGAGGAGGACAAGGACGAGGACGAGGACAAGAGGGAGAGGGACGGCACAAGAGGGAGAGCACTAGCAATGTAAAAGTGCGTTTAGTAAAACATGTATTTAAATAAGCTGTGCTGGGGACCCTAAGTGCCAGAGCTTGGGGGCAGACGGCAGCGGCCGAGAGGCCTGGCGAATAACAAGTCCAGGACACACAGAGCTTGAATATCCGACACAGCAACAGCAGATGAGAGCGACCACATTACAAGCACGAGCGAAAGTGAGGGGTCTACGCCCCAAGTAAAGTTCAGAGCACTCGCCGACATCATGCTGCAACCAGCCCTCCACTCGGAGGGCCCACAGGTACCTGACCTTCATGGGCCCTCAGGGGCCGATCACGCACAACAAAATGAGAGTGCGAACCCCGCACAGGCCAAAAAGCCCTTTCTGGCCGAAGGCCCTGCATTCAGGATTTTGAAATCAGCACCGCAGGCATAGGGTGGGAGGGCGGGAAGAGAAGAATACCAGTATTATACCCAAAAATTACCCCCCCCAGCTTTGGCACAGATCCCCAGATTAATTGCAAGCTCAAAGAAACGCACTTCGAAATCCAAACACTTACAGACAAGTGAAGAGAGGGAGGAGGTACGGCTAGGTGGCGCCACGGCGCCGAAACAGGGCCTTGCCCCCTGTTCTCGGGCGCCCCACCTCGGGCCGCGCCTGCAGCGAAGCACAGCCGAGGTCGAGGCTGTCATTCGAAAGCTGCGAAAGAGCCGCAATCAAGCGAACGGTGAGCGGCCTACGTGCCGCCCTGGACTTCCCCAGCGCATTGGCCATCGCCACGCCTGGGGCCTGCCAGAACCGTTCGCCCTTCACGATCTGATCCTTTTGGAGGAGGGAGCGCCGCTGTATCAGCACGTGGGTCTTCGTGTAGCGCTGCAAGGCGCTCGAAGTAGTCCAGCGCCCCCTCCTCCTCGCAATCTCCAAATCTCCCCCATTCGCCACATACTGCGCAGCACCTGCGTGACGAATGCCATGAGGTGGGCCAAGGGCCTCAAGGCCCAACCTCTGGAGGGAAGACTGCCAACTCCTGCGATACTTGTCGGGGGTGATGGGGAAGACGAGCTCATCATCTGCAAGATCCTCGGCGAGGGTGAGCAGCACGCACTTCGTCAGCTCCATCAGTACTTCCACTCCCTGCCCCGAGCCCGTCTTGACCTTCTCCCCTCTCGCTCGATCTCCTAGCAATAATGCCATACGCCCTTGTGCATCTGTCGAGATGCTGCCCTTCCGTAGTTGAGCCCAGTCCTGCTCACGTAGCCAACCGTCGAGCTGCACCACGACCGCGCACGCCTCGTGGACACACCCGGCGTGGCACAGGTCCAGGATGACGAGAGCAAGCGCCTGCAACGGAATGGGCTCGCCCTCCTGGCCCTGCTGCTGGCGTTCCCACGCTTTCAGAGCTCGAGCCGACAGGGGGAGGAAGTTCCTGTGGTCCTCGAAGATGTGCATGAACCCGTTGAAAAGCATGCTTCCCCGACTATAGCCGAGGCCACGCACATAGCACATGTCCGACAGAAAAGAGGCCAAGGCTTTATCCCGAAGATAGACCGAATGAAACGGTAGGTTCAGCCTCTTAGCATCGATCAGAAACTCCCGAACTGCCTTCTCGTATGCGACATTCGTCTTGTCATCGACCGCGTGAATTGCCAATCTATTGTTATAAGCCAGAGGCATACAGGCTGCGTTTTCCCATGCTCGAGCTCCTTTAGTCTGCAGCGGCGGCGGCCTCGTGGCAACTCTAACTGCACCTGCTCCGTGCATGCACCCCAAGATGGCCAGCAGCCAACTCCAGGACGGCCAGGATCGCACGCCCCGGTTCACCGCCAGCCTCTCCAGGGTCAAGTAGAGCTCCTCGTAGTCGATGGCCTCGTACTCCACTAATCCGTCGGCGCCGTGATCCCTCACGATGTCGACTTGGTAGGTCCCGTCGTACTCGCAGTCGGATAAGGTCTTGCCAGCATGGAGCGGACGGCCTTCGGCGTGTGCCTCCACTTGCGCTCCTCCTTCGTGGCCTCGGCCGCACCGATATCCAACGCTCTGCTCGGACCATCTACCACATTGTCCTCCGACGCCACCCACCTCACGTACAGACTGATACCGAAACCGAGGGCCACCGCAGAAGCCTGGCGAGCCAAGCGCAGCAGGCCCGTCGCCGACGAGCGCCCCTTGGCAAGCACGCCCATCGCAACCAGGGAGTCCGAGAACACCAGCACGCGCTTGCCCCACATATTCCGTGTGCGCGACATGTGTCGCAAGAGGGACACAATCGT